TAGCAAAATAAACACGGCCAAACCATAACCCTCCTAATGTGCTAAATTGCTGGAAAAGCCAGAACAGCTTCGCAGGGCGTCTGAGGGCTCGCTGCGAGGCTCCGAAAGGCCCCTGAACTCCTCAGCCCTCCAAGCAGAGCACAGCAGATGCAATCAATTTAATTTTCCCCCTCCTCTTTTGATATATTTTCCAGCGGAGCACGGTCCTCGCACCCAATTCCCTTTGCCTAAGGGGGGTACTGGGGGGTGCTGAGCCTGCCAAGATGATGCTAACTCACGGAGGGAATAAAGCAATGAGATAAAACCCTCCAGGATGAGAGGGAAAATGGCATTTTCCCTGTCAGACCCCCTTTCTTTCCTCCTCTTACCACCCCCAAAAATCCCAGCAGGGGCCAAATGATGCTCAAAAGGCACTAAAAAGTTCAGTTCCCCATGCCCGGGGGTGTGTGTTCCCCTTGATGGGCTGGTTTTGCTCTTCTCCCCCTCTGATGCCTGACTTGCTCCATGCCTGGGGAGGGGGGGGGGTTGCAAAGCAGCCAAGGGGTTTCTTTTCATGGGGTTTTTTAAGGTTTTTTAGGGCATCTGAGGTTTTTTGGGGATCCACTCTAGCACTGCTCTCGCCGACTTTCTCCCCACCCTGCCCAAGAATGTTCCTGCTGATATTAAACCCGACCCGGAGGCATTTCGAAGGAGCTGACTTCCTCGCCAAAAAAATGACCTCAGCCTCCCTGGTTTGGAGCTTTTTTTTTACCTTTTTAAAGCATTTTTCTCCCTCTCCTGCCTCCCGGGCAAGAGGCACCGATGGGGCCTCTCACCCGTGGCCACGGCACCACCACCACCGAGCTGCATCCGTGGTGCCAATCCCCTGATTTTGGGGGGAAATTTGCAGGTTTTAAACCTGCAAATTCCATTTTTAACCTGCAAATTCCAAGTTTTCCCCAGCAAAACACTTCCCTGCTGCTGAAAGGAGGATCCAAGGGCCAAACCTGCTGCAAAAACCCACCTTGTACCACCCTCTGGGTGCAAAACTCGTGTCCCTGATGAAATAAAAGGGGGGAAAAAAAGCCAACGTTGCCTGTGATGTTTTCTGGAAGGGTTTTTGCAGGAGTTTCCTTAACAGACTCCTCTGCATTTTTGCTTTTATTAACATGGCAGCCTTCTGAGGCTGCTGCAATGGTTTTGCAAGAGCTAAAACATCTCCCGAGTCATAAATCCAACCCCTCGGGCACCTTCACAGAGGGAAACGCTGGGGAGAAAGGAGGGAGATACCGATTTAGAAAGGGAAATGCTGGATTTGGGTGTTTTCAGATGGAATTACTCCGGCGTTAGGTTTTTTTTCTTAAATTAATATTTGCTGACCTGGAGACATCGAACTGACGTTCAGAAAATAGAAATGCTTCTGCAAGAAGCAAACCTTTTGGATTGCCGGTCTCCAAAAGGCTGGTGTTAGCAGGGAAATTACAAATTTACCCCTAAAAACCAGGTGAGGAGATGTTTCTGCCACTTTTCTCTGCTCAAAGTGAGGCTTCGCCCTCCTGGAGCTGCATCTGCCTCCCACATCTGCATCCCGCAGACTGCATCTGCACCTTCCTGCCTGCACCCTGGTTCCTGCACCTTGCACCCCACTTCTGGCCTCCTGGAGCCACACGCTGCAGCTGCATCTTGCTTTTGCATCCCACATCTCCTTCCTGCACCTGTATCCTGTGGCTGCGCCCCACAGCCTGCATCCGCAGCTTGTGCCCTGCATCCCAAAGATGAGCATCCTGCATCTCAAAGATGAGCATCCTGCATCCCATGTCCTGCATCTGCACCCTTCATCCCGCGTCCTCTGCATGGACCTCATCCCCCCCAACCGCAGGACAAAAGCTTAATTGCAATTAAAGTAATTTTTAAGGGCACATTGGTCCCATCCAGTCCTTCCTTCCAGCTCATTCCTGGTCCCATCCAGGCATTTCTCCAAGCAGCATTCCCAACCAGCCCGCGCAGGGATGGAGTGGGGAGGTTTCCCCATCCACAGGGGCTTCTCTTCCCCTCCCCGAATTGCCGCCCTGACACATCTGGCAGGCAGATGTGGCCACGCGGCCCAGGCTCTGCCTCCCAGATGGGGGACGAGCCGTGAAACCCCTGCACAGGATTCAAGAGCTATAAGTTTTTCCCTTGGAAATCTGGAATTCCCAGCCTGTTGCACGCACACCCCATCTCCAGGGGGGATTGCAACATCCCTGTGCGTGGCTGAGCCCACACCGTGATGCTCCGGGGCTGGACCATCCCTTGTCCTGTACCTCCATCCCATATCTGCACCCTAAATCCCACTTCTGCATCCAGAGCCCTGTACTTGGCATCCTTCATCCTTAAACCCCTTTTCCCATGTCGCCTGCCCTGTATCCCACCTCTGCATCCTAAATCATGCTTCCGCATCCCATGTCTCGTGTCTGTATCCCAAATCCTGTCGCCTGCACCTGCATCCTAAACCCTGCATCTCTTCTTTTGTCTCCTGCCGTGTCCTGCACCTCATGTGTGCACCCAAAATCCTGCTTCTGCAGCCCCTCACCCATGTCCTGCATCCCTGTCCTCTGTCCTGTACTTGGGACTCCGCGTCTACATCCCAAATCCTCCATCCCACATCTGCATCCTGAATATTCCATCCTGCCTCCCTTGCATCTCCACCCTAGACCCTCCATCCCGCATCCTCCACCTACATCCTAAATCCTGTGTCCCTCCTCTGCATCCTCCATCCCGCATCCTGCACCAACAGCCCAAACCCTGCATCCCATCTGCATCCTGAAGCCTCCCCCCCACCTCCTGTGCCTACGTCCCAAATCCTGTGTCCCACCTCTGTACCCTCAATTCTGCATCTAGAGCCTGAATTCTCCATCCCACATCTACATCCCAATTCCTGGGTCCCACCTCTGCATTCTCCATCCAAAATCCCCCATCCTACACCTGCTTCCTGAACCCTCCACCGGAAATACTATGTTCTGCCTCTGCATCCTGAACCCTCCATCCCCTGAATCCTGTGTCCCATCTCTGCATCCTCCATCCCACATCCTCCATCTCCACCCCACATCCTCCACCTCCATCCCAAACCCTCCATCTCCATCCTGCATCCTCCATCTCCATCCCAAACCCTCCATCTCCATCCCAAACCCTCCATCTCCATCCCGCATCCTCCATCTCCATCCCGCATCCTCCATCCTGCATCCCAAACCCTCCATCTCCATCCCGCATCCTCCACCTCCATCCCAAACCCTCCATTTCCACCCTGCATCCTCCATCCTGCATCCTCCATCTCCATCCCACATCCTCCATCTCCATCCTGCATCCTCCACCTCCATCCCAAACCCTCCATTTCCACCCTGCATCCTCCATCCTGCATCCTCCATCTCCATCCCACATCCTCCATCTCCATCCCAAACCCTCCATCTCCATCCCAAACCCTCCATCTCCATCCTACATCCTCCACCTCCATCCCAAACCCTCCATTTCCACCCTGCATCCTCCACGTCCATCCCAAACCCTCCATCCCCATTCCAAACCCTCCATCCCACCTCCGCAACGCCCCGCCTCCTCCATCCCCACATCCCAGACCCCGGGATGCTGCAGGGGGGGGGACGGACCGCGGGACGGCAAACGAACCTGCGCCCGGCTGGAGCACCATGAATTTGGGATGAGGTGGGGGGAGACGCCGCCCCCCGCCCAGCCCGGCCGCCCGCGCCGGCGATAATGTTGGTTTAAGGCATTTTGCACGCTCCGGTGCCTCTCTGAGAGCCCCTTGTCCCCAGCGGGGACACACAATGGGCGCTTTCAGGGCCCCGGCTCCGCGCAGCCCCCTTTTTACCCGGAGA